CTGAACCCAGGAGGCGGAGGTTGCGGTGAGCCGAGATCGTGCCATTGCACTCCAGCCTGGGTAACAAGAGCGAAACTCTGTCTCAAAAAAAAAAAGAAAGAAAATGCTAATTTTCAATTAGATGTTAATGAAAAAAAAAAGACCTAAACTTTTCCCTATACCAATTCACTCCTTAGACTCCAGATCAAAAACCTCTTGTTTGACTGCTTGTTCATTTAACAACACTCACATAAGGAGGCATCATAGCTCTATACTGGGAAGCGAGGGCAGCCTGCTGTCCATTCAGTTTAGCCTGTGGAGGGCCACAAGCTATCCTCTTTTCCACCACTCTGAGGATATCATTTTGCTCTGATGTTACAGCTGTGCTTTCATCCTGGCCAGGGAGCTTTTCATCTTGATCAGATGACGAGAGTGAGCCAGCAGCCTTACCACCATCTCTCCAACAGGCAACATCTAGTATGAAGGGAGAGAAAAAAGGAAAAAGGCAAAAATCTGAAAATGGAACAAAGTAAAACCAAACCAGGCAAATTTCAGAAAAATGAAAGCAAGTAAGCAAAGTGAAAGAGCAGGAAAAGTCTAATCTTGGCCCTACTAATGCTTTCAAGGTGTTTGGGTAGTAGTGGCTTCCAAAGTAGAGAGGAGGTACTTCAGAGGGTGCCACCACAAGCAAATACTAAGGTTGGAGAAGAAAATATTAGAACTTCTCTATGTAGTTTTATCACTATTTGATACAGAGATTAAAATCACTGTTCTCCATATATCAGATGGCCATGTTTCAGAGTGACACACCTGAGGTTTCCCGAGGGAAGGAAGGTGGGAGTTCTACAATCTGGAAGGGTTGACAGTGATATTCTCATTTGTCTGTTTTCAGTCTATCATTGCTAGTCAGAGATGCCACCAAGTGAAGAGATTTGAGTGGCATTATCTTGTACAACTACACTTAACCAAATAAAACAGCTAGGTGGTTTTGCTAAGAAACACTGCATGGTAACCAGTCTCCTAGATAGCCCAAATGATCTCTATCTTCTGGTCTCTATACCTTGTGTAGTCCCTTCTCACAACATACCAGGGTGGTCTGTGTAACCTGTAGAAAATGGCAGAAGTGATAGCATGTCCCTTTCCAGATTAAGTTACAAAAGACTATGGGCTTCTGTCTTGGATGGAGGGTGTCTGTCTCTCACCATTTATTCTGCGGAAGCTATGTCATAAGCAGCACCACTAAGAGGCCATGAAAGTAAAGGGCCAATAGCTATGCCAGTCAGTTTGGAAGTATAGCCCCAGTCAAGTCAGCTTCAAACAGCTTCATTGCAGCCTTGAGAAAGTCCTTAGCCAGAACCTCCGGCTAAGCTGATCCTGGCCTTCAGATACAATGGGATATCATAAGTATAGTTCATTTTGTTGTTTTACATTGCTAAATTTGTTATGTAGCAATAGATAACTGGTAAAAAGTCATTTAAACAAGAAAACAGTGAAGCTGGTACATCTAACATGAACTCACCAACCTCATAATGATACTTGAAAAATTAAAAAAAAAATTTAGATTTATTTAGATCTGACAAGAAATGAGCCAAAAAATGTGAAATATATCAGGTTATTGGAAATATGGAATCTGTAAACACTACTGTCATAGAGGAACCCCCGCTTGTAAACAAGATCCTTTGGGTCGGGTAAGGAGGCTCATGCCTGTAACACCAGCACTTTGGGAGGCCGAGGTGGGTGGATCACAAGGTCAGGAGTTCGAGACCAGTCTGGCCAGCATGGTGAGATCCCATCTCTATTAAAAATACAAAAAATTAGTAGGATGATGGCGTGCACCTATAGTCCCAGCTACTTGGGAGGCTGATGCAGGAAAAATCACTTGAACTTGGCAGGTGGAGGTTGCAGTCAGCTGAGATCACGCCACTGCACTCCTGCACTCCAGCCTGGGCAACAGAGTGAGACTCCCGTCTCCCAAAAAAAAAAAAAAAAAAAAAAGATCCTAAGATACTTAATAATGACACTATGAAGCCATAACAATTAATAAGACATTTAAAAATCCCTCAAACATTTATATTTCAAATATTTTTAGTTTTTGCTTTGTAACATACATAAAGTATCCCTCACTATCCAAAATTATTTGTTTCCTCCGTTTGAGATCAGAAAGTGAGGAATCACCAAATGTTAATTCAGAAGTAAGTAAACAGTTATACGGTAGGGAAGTCTGCTCAAAAACTTACTATTATAAATAAGTCCCAATATTAGTATGCATGTAAGTCACCTGGTCATCTTGTTAAAATACAGATTTTGATTTAGTAAGTTGGATGCAAGGCCCAAGATTACACATTTCTAACATGTTCTCAATTTATAGTGATACTGTCAGTGCAAAAATCACACCTGAGTAGCAAGTGACTATAGTAGTCTAAGTATGCCTTTTCAAACTAGGCAAGTCATATATACAACAGCAAGCAAGAGGCTGTATCACAAGACAGTATACAAATATGGTCTCATTTTGTATTATAGAGAAAGTACTCTTACTTGGTGGACGTAAACTGGGTCCAGGTCCATAGTTCTCATCATTTGTTTCCTTTTCTTTTTTTTCCTGATCCCCAGCTGCCTGCAGGCTGGGAAACTCTTGCTGAAACTGACTGTTCACTTGGATTCCTATAGATTTTTTAAAAAAATTAAAGGTAACTTTTATACTGAAGATAATGCAAACCACCCTCCCGGGATAGAGCTCTTTGCTTCTTTCTCATAAATTATTCCACATTTCACTGATGACTGTTCATATCTATCAAACTGTAAAATTCACCTAGACTCCTTCAAAAAGTTAATGATCAGCCATGAGGAGATAAAAGTCTAAGAAAGTAATCTTCCAGTACCATTCCAAAGGACTCATTGCAGATGATCACGCAAGTGAGGAGTTTCCCTTGTTTCTCTTTCATTATGACTCCTTACATTTTTCAATACAAGTCAAATTCCTTTGCTAAAAATTCTCAGAATTTGTTCAAATCATATTACTGAAATCGTGTTTTATTAATAGACCCCAAGATCAAGACGAAGCTAAAACACCTTCATTTAATTTACTGCTTTCATTTGCTTTACTTTAATTTACAGCTGAGATGATTGCACCTCACTATTCACCCATCTTCCTATCTACCTATTTTTTATACTTCTATAAATTAAAAGAGCTAGTTTTATTAGCTTGAGGGTCAAGATGGGCTCTTCCACAGAATGTTTTATAGACAGTTCCTGTTTTGAAAGTGGGCAAACTAAATTCCACTGGGGATTTCATCATTCCTTGGGGGAAGAGGGTGCGTTACAGCAATAGTGCTTTACGGCTACTTTCTAGCTCTTCTCCTCTCAGGAAATCGTGACAGCATGTTTGAAACAGCAGAGATTGGGGACACAGATGAAAATGAGTATGGTTTCTTATAACCTACCCAATGGGTGGATACTTTGAAGGTATAAGCTTTGTTTGGACATATAGGAGTAAAGATAAAATAATGTGGGGCGGAGGGTATCTTAAAGACTCCCTTTCTTAACCACTACCATTGACTGATATATGCTCTTGACACTGGAATCTAGCTAGCCCAAGAGATTTAAAAAAAAAAAACTTTTTAAGAGCCTTAAGTATATCCTTTAACAATGTTTTCTGGCTCTACCAAAATACAGTTCGCCCCTTATCTCCTGCATGGCTGTTCAGTAACTATCAAACCTAAGCAGTTTCCCCAGCTAATGTCTACTTACCATCTCCTTGCCCACCTTGCTTGTTACTGGCCCATGATTTGGGAGCCGGTGCTACTTCTGGGGGAGCTGCAACCCCAGGTTTTGGCTGTGCTGGTGGCACTTCTGGTGTTCTTAAAAAAAATATATGAATCCATTATTTCAGACACTGTATGTTTAAGTAAAATCAACATTATATTTAAGGTAAGTCTGTGTACAAGTTATTTTGGCTATATGTTAATTCATTGGTAAATTCCCTATAGATGTTTTCCCTCTGAAACATTTCTTTAAATGAATTATGGTTATTTTTGTCCCCTTTAATCTCTACATTTGAATAACCCAATGAGATGAGTTTTGCTTGTTTTCTATTTGTTTAAAAAAAAAAAAAGGGGGGGGGTCAGGAAAAAAATATAAAATAATAAATAAATAAATAAAAGGCTAGGCGTAGTGCCTCATTCCTGTAATCCCAGCACTTTGGGAGGCCAAGGTGGGCGGATCGCTTGAGGTCAGGAGATCAAGACCAGCCTGGCCAACATGGTGAAACCCA